CTCTTTGAGAATTCGACAAGTGATTCCCTCCTTTTTCAAAACCTTCTTAGTGGGCAAGGACCTTTTTACCTGTTTAAAATTCCAGGAGGTTTTGTGGGAATTAAAGGTTACTCAGACCGACGTTTGACGAAGGCCACTAACAGTGTGAAGTGACTCCATAAGCTTATTGGTAAATTTGAAGCTGTGGGTTAAAGAACTACTTAAAACTTTACTGCTGTTCAATCTATATATTACCATGTTCAATGTTGTAAAATTATACATCATATATGCATTTTTATTACATTTAATTGATTTATAAGTTAGCTAGAACACAAGAGGACGTGGAATAAGTCAAAATAAAACAAAACATATCTGAAAGTACAATTGATACTATTAGAAATATTTCACATAATTTAGACAAAGGGTTCACCAAATACAAAAAGAAATATAAAAATACAAATCCACTTAGGTGAAAAAGGTACAATGCAAAATTTCGAAGATGCACATTTTACGTATTGCTCAGGATAAGGTCTAGTACACCTTCGAATTTCTTAGCACCAGAAAGATTCTTGAACAGGGATTTTTTTTAAGAAAAATGGCTGTCTTCTGGGTTGTTGTGCCATGTAGTCTGGTTGAAGTCTACCGACGTTTCGGACGTTCTTGCTCCTTCCATCATCAGGGCGATGATTAATGCAGCAAATACCAGACTACACGGCTCTATTAGACAGTCATCTACACAGTCACAGCTTTGAAAACCTCAAATCCTACGATGTTCTGAATCGGTTACCAGTGATTTGCACCTGTAATTATGTTTCCGTTTAATCCCTGTAATTAAAAACCTCAGAATTCACCATGATTTACTTTATAGGATACAAATACTCCTACTTGGTGCGTTTTGGAGAGAGGTTAATTGCGAAAAAATTAGTATGATTGGAGTGTAATTGTCGTTCTTTGCAGAAATAATTACACTGCTCTAACACTGACAATGTCCACACAGCTTGCATGAAGCACATGCACAGTTGTGCAGTTTAGAAGATTTGTGTTCTGTATTAAAAAAACTACAAAATAAATGTAATTCATCAGATGAAGGTTTCATATCAAATAATTAGAAAATTATTGTGGCTTAGCTTAGCCATTATGAATAAGCAATTTGTGATGGACAAATATTTTTGTGCTTAGCTACGAGGGCGTGCCGAAGGTGAAGCTATAGAGGCCAGGACATCACACATAATAAACCAGTATTTTACACATAATTTTTCACTTCTTATTTTATTTATTTTATACGAGGTGTGGGCCGAGCGGTCTGAGGCGTGGGCCTTGTGCCGCTCGGTCGCTGGGACCGTGTGTTCGAATCCCACTCAAGCCATGGATGTTTGTCCTCGTTTTACTGTGTTGTGCTGTCCTGTGTACAGGTAGAGGCCTTGCGACGGGCCGATCCCTTGTCCAAGGAGTCCTACCGAATGTCCATAGATCAAGCCAACGAAAGAAAAAAAGTTGGGACCCGCAGTGCTCATGCACTTGAAGAACGGGTCGTTCCCAGTATCCCAGTATACGATATGTATGTTTTATAGATACAGTCTTTAATGAGAATCGCACAATTTATGTTCTAGGTCTACTATTGTTGATCGATAGGGAGACTGCAACTTTGCCAGCTGCAAGTTGATCTGATATCGAATAATACGTGAGAATCGTGAATCTTAGCTTTTAACGGGAGAGGACAGAAGGCGAGTTTTTTCGTACTTTGAAATACAGCACTATCGCAGTATTCGCTCGAAAGTCTGAGGTAACTACGGATAATTTAGGAAGTGCAGTCTGTTTCATATTCAGAATAAAAGTAATGCACATTCTGCCTTAACTAAGTCCATTTCTAATATACTCCTTTTTAATTAGATTTGTTGGGCTGCAACTTTTACAGTGTTTTAGTCTGTCTTAATGGCAATAAGAAGTTACCTTTTGCGCAATATCTACTGTATGTAAAGGGTTGGGTATCCGTCCATCATCTTTATACATTTACTTATAAAGTCACTGTATGCCTGTATATTTGAGTTTCTTTTTAGAGTTTTGTTTTGAAGAAAGTGCTATCAAGCTTCATGAATTGTCTACGAACGCCAGAATTATTACGAATTTTAAATCGGATAACATCGAGAAGAATCGGGGCCTTATTATGACAGATTACTTCGAAGGACGGAGGAAAACTGCGAAAAATGTATTCACGATAGCTGTAATTTAAGGAACCTTCAGAGAACGAATAATATGTGCAATTTGTGTCAACGTAACTCAACTGCATAAAACAGTGTACTCAAAACTGGATACTCATTGAAATACTTGATTCAGAATTGTACGATAGATAAGATCTAGACAATTATCCGATAGGAGAGTAGTACCTACGACTGTGAACTTTGTACAAATGATAGGAGAGAAGTACCTACGACTGTGAACTTTGTACAAATTAGTCTTTCCGGAATTTATTACCTAGTCTAAAGAAGCATGACCACATCCATGCAATCATTTGTTTAGAAATTCTACTGTTTGTTTAAAACCTTGGCTACTACCAGTTGCGTGAATAGAAAATAGACAATTCACCATTTACAACCGAACGAAAAAGTATGATCTTTAAACAGCTTTTTAGAGTTAAAGCTAAAGGTGATTTCCTGCAAGCAAGAAATCAGCATGTAGAATATTTTAAAGAATTTAGACGTACAAAGAACTAGAAAAAACAATTCAACTTGGATTTGTTACCAGTTCTTGACATCTCCCAAGAGGAGTGCGGCAGTCAAGAGAGAGGAATTGAAATGAGAAACATTCTTTACAAAGAATGTTTTGTACTTTGTGTTCAGCTCATAAACATGGGCTTGTGCCCAGCGCACATAAAATTTCCCTTTCCGAGCAGAATAAACTGCAGAGTTAGAACACCTGTTCAGTGTCTGTAATTTTTCTGTAACACAGTATTAAATCTAGAAACCAGATATTTGAACTAATCTATTCATAGACAAACTACTAAAAAAAGACTGGATAAACGTCAACTTGCCTGTCCTTGGATAAAAGAGTAAAATCCAGATATTACAACCGAAATTTAATTGAGATTTTACATTTCACACCCATTACTTATGATTTTGCAAAGACTAGCACTTCATTCTCAAAAGTAAGTGTCTAAACTGTATAATCAAATTTGCATATTTTCTTTAAAGTTCCAGTAAGTTATAACCTTGATTTACGATTTCATTCCGAAAATTTGCTTTTTGTTTTCTGAAAACTGTTCTACCAGGATTTATACTCTTTACTCTGGCACTGGCAAATTATGGAGGTTTAAAACCAGGCTCTCAAATTTTGGTTTAATACTTTACTTCAGACAATGCCTGTATTTCGACTAGTTTTCGCACTCTCGTATCTAATCAATCCTGAAACACTGCTATGAATAATCGCTCTGATGATGAAGGTAGCAAGATTCTCAGAAACGCCGGTAATGTAGCAGACTACACGGCACAATACAGTCATCTTCAGTCACCGCCTTGAGAACCTGAAATCTCGCAAGACTTCAGTAGTTTATGTGGTGACGTTAAATAACCAAATGTCAAAAAGCAGGTCTACGCACAAGCACAGGAGGCAGGGCCAGCAGTCGGTCAGTGAGAATGAGCATGTTTCTGAACACTGGATGTGTTTCTGGCTGGCACTGCAATGCCCCTTCGGTATTGTTATCAGCATCAGTCATCGCCACGGTTTCATTAATTATTCAGCAGCCTGTAACTATCCATCGAACAGCAAGACCGCTGCGTGTTCCGTACGTCGTTCGCTTATATTAAAGTGTTACGACACGGAAGTCGACTTCTGTTCCTGTGAATATCGTTCTTTTATTTTGTAAATTAAACCCAGAGGTCGACTGCTTGATTTTTATCAGTCACTCCAAACAACTGTGATTTGATGTATTACATCAGGTTTTGACACTCAGCCGTGTCGTTTGTCGAAGTCTTTCTAAATTTTGGCAAGCATCACAGTTGCCATCTTCAGGATGAATGTATTTTCATTGCGTGGAAATTAAAAAATGACAGCTCAGACCCGATTTGATGTATCACTCACCCGCTGCAGATATGTAGGGTAAATTATGATTTTTAGTTTTTCTAACCAAGTACCATGCTGCTGGAGTGAAGTAAGTAGTTTGTAGGTTCCTAGATTATGTAACGAAACAGCCAGCAACTGAATCAGTAATTAACCGTAAAATTGTTATTATTTGTGCATATAGGAGGGATAAAAACCTGTCGTGGCTTATTTTATAGCATTATCCCAGTGTACGTTTCTCGATGATTGAAAGGAAATCATAACAGATCTCACCATGCACTGTGTATGAGTGGGGATGCGATGCTGTCCTCACAGAGATACTGGAAGGAAATTTACCTTTATACCAGACATGTAGGCCTACTACGCCATGTGAGGAAAGACCAGTTCTCTAAGAAACTGCACACAGTATTTATATGGGCCTATCCACGTACATATTTAAGTATTTTTTAAGGGCTTATGTGTATTTGTGAGTGTAAGTTATGTTTCTGAACGATTTTACGTATGTGTATTCATGTATTTAATTATATTTTGCGAGTATTTTATATACTGTATTTTGGCTAGGGAAGTTTTTCCTCATTATGGATTATCAAATCGTATTTATCATTCTGAAGGCTGCGATTATTATTAAATGGAGTCTAATCTCGATTTTGTCTGCTTCAGTTTATATCCCATTTTCAAAATCTACACCTAGTTTTATTTTTCCATGTTTAGAACACCAGCCACCAGTCCCTATCGTAAGCCAGTTCAATCTAACCCACTATTATCTATTCTGGTCCCATAAGTTCGAGAGTCTTGACATTCTAGTTTTTTTACGAAACCTCCTACCAACGCTCCAATCATTCGGTCGCTGAAAATAATCTCTCCAAGTCCGAGGCCCTACGCAGCATTTCGTAAAAAGTTGTTTTGTTTTTCAGGTGAAGAGTTTTTAGCCCTGCCCGATTCCGAAGCTGGAGGACCACCACTTGTCGGTTGTCCGTGACTACTTCGCATCTACCTTCCACATCTGAAGGCCGTCTCCGCCATTCGTAAGCTGAGGACGTGCCATACAACGGTGACAAAGGACTTTCTTCAAAGTAAGACACGACGTTTCACAACGAAACAAATGAGTTAGCACAATTAATTATCTTTATTGTTTTGGAACTGATACAATACCGTAACTGAGTACAGCAGTTAAAACTGATAGTTTCTGGTATCACTTCATTACAAATTAAGAATTACAGTAGAACTCTCTGTTGAGAATGGTAATGTGGTTGTTATACTGATAGCATGGGAATAAGGGTTGAGTGAGATTATTCCTAAGGCTCGAAGTACTGTAGAGTCTGTGTCACACCTTTGTTGAAATAACTTCATCCTGTCAGTTTGCTTCAGTGTGACCAAGTACATGTGATAACGACTACAAGTAGAATCCGCCCAACTCCACGACAAGAGATTTCACTCCTGTTCAGTACTACTACTTAATCGCTAATCGTTCTGTTTGTATTACATTGCTTGGAGCATTAACCTGTTTTTTAATTGTGGTGTTATTTTGGAGTTCGCAAGGTATTGTCAGGAGATTTCAGGGTCCCACGGCAGCAAGACTGAAGATGACCGTCTACTCCGATGCTGAGCCGTATAGTGTGACAAAAGTTTACCAAAGTTTCACAGGTGCGCTAATGATGGAGGCAGCAAACACCTCTGAAACGTCGGTAAATTTCTTCCAGACTACACGGCGAAACATCCTAGAATACAGTCATTTTTGTCAACTGTTGTTCTCGTTTGTTCTAGGCTGTTTTAATCCGTGCAAAGCGTGTATTATAGTACAGTGTAGATGTATTGACTCGTTCATCCTTGCCACTTTATAGCCAGTCTACTCACCCTTCCGTGAAAATGCTCGATGACGGATTATGTCATTGCTATGGTGTTCCTTCCCTAACCTCAAGGTTTAAAGCACAGCGGTAACTATACGTAAAATCTGTTTTAACAGCCAGTAACTCTTCATTTTGTCCATTTTCTATTTATATATTTCTTGTAATTCTCAAAATAAACAACGATTATTTTCTGAAAAAAGCACTCATCGGTTGGTGTTTGTGTGTAGGAGAAGAGTTGTGGTTTCTTTGAGGTCGGAACTGAATTTTTAGATGTTATTTAGAACAACGTGCTTTGAAGTTGTACAATATTTTTAAATATCTGTACCTTATATTTCAATATTGTTCACTTATTTGTATTAAATCACCTGAAATTAAATTTGAATCTGTTGAGAAATTTTTAATTTCTTCTGAGATTAATTGCACGGCAGTAAATAAACAATTTTAGTAAAATTATTTTAATATATAACAGAGATTTCAAACGAGAAATGTGACTTTGCATTGTTTCATAATGTTTGGCTTACTCTAAGAAAATACAGTTTTAAAGAGAGATTCTAGGACCAGTTAAAAAACAATTTCGGTACAACAAAAGTGTCGGTGTAGTAAACATTTATGTTTTAAAATAATTATATTGTATGACCCTGCAGAAGTAATTATAGAATATAAAGACAAGAGACATGACTTTCATTCAACTACCGCAGGAGTACGACGTTTATACTATTCCAAATTAAAGATTTGGTTGAAAAAATTCACACAGTTAATAAGAACACTCTTCTTTACATTAGCCGCTTTTCAGTCATTTGTTTTCTTCTTTAAACGTAAAGGCCTAAATTGAAATATGATTTTGGTTCAACTGAATTTAACAAAAGAAATTACGGGTCTAAAGAAATATACACAATCGATTCAGATTTGCATTACTTTTCTACCGGCTATTCAAGTACGGATGATAAATTACTTCATCAGATATTGTAAAAAGCATGATCAACTAGATATGAGATAAAGAAGAAAGAATTATTTTGAAATTACCACGTACTGAACTGGTAAGATTGATATTTTGATAGGGCCTACACTTCGAATGAAGGAGAACACAAGCATACCTAGTACTGGCGAAATGAATTTATTTAGCAATTAAATATTCTAAAACTGTGTTTCATAATACGCAATTTACGGTGCTGGGAACACTTATAATTAATTTTCAATGAATAATAAATATTGTCTGTCGTCAGTAACAGAAACCTGACATATTCTTGCCCTTGCATCTTTCAGCTGCAGTAATTGGCATGTCTTGATGTATATAACAACCAACGCGCAACTGTTACGTTATAATATATATTACATAAATGATAACACAACAATTACGATTTCAAGATCTGTAGAGAAGGATTGAATTACTATATTTATCTTGAGAGAGTATTTACACTTTCCGTCATACAGAAAATGATACCCCTTGCAGAATATAAACTATATTCAGCATAGCTACGTCAAATTTCGACAATTAATCCCGGTAGCTACTGTAATCAGTTACATTCTCAGACAGAAGACGTTTCTTCATTGTATTAATAGTCGTAAGTACCAAGATACACAGATACGTAAAACATAAAAGTAAAATATATTTGAAACTTAAGTGTTACAATTATTACAGTGTGAATGAATCTAGATGAGCAAATTCGTTGATTTTTGAAGCGTGGATAAGCCTAAGATCTGTTGAATGTGTAAGGACTCATATCTTCAACTGCAAAACTAAATCTTTTCTGTCAATCAATTATTTTTCTTCCAGACATCATCTTGAAATTCGTAGTACGGCACATGCTTTATAGGACAGATACTGGGTTATCTTTTCATAAATATGTCTGGACATCAAAATTTGTAGTTTTGACCATATATTAGAACATATGTGAATGGTGCTGACAAACGAGCCAATGAGCACGTAGTTTATAGCTGTTCTAGAACATAACTGACTACCTTCCTGACATTCTTAAAATGCTTTGTTTCTTTCAATAAACAAGTAGATGTAAGAGTTCACACATACAAAACTTTAGCCGAATAACCTGAATGGATGAGACGACTTGGGGAGACCCAGTATGTGTGACCAAATCAAGGAAGCAGCAATGGGCGGGGCATATAGCATGCATAGTGGTGATAAAAAGTGAGAGGGAAATATTAAAACGTGTCTTAAAGAATAGGATGTGGGTGTGTGGACTGTTCATCTGGCTGGGATCAAAACTAGCTGTAGACTGTTTTGAACAAGGCGGGCCCTCGGTTTCCATAAAAGGCAAGGATTTATTACCAAGTTAAGCAACTTTGAGCTTGACAAGAAGGACTCTATTTTACTATTTTAGTCAGCGGAAGTAAGAATTTGTTTCTGCGCTATCATAGCAATGTTAATGATAAATTAAATTACCTTTACTCCAAGATCAGTCAAGTTTCGGGTCAGATTTGAAGAGTATTAATCTTACAAACAAGGAGAGAAAAAGCAAAATATATTTAAGGCATATCTCTGAAATTTACTGAATACTAAGATGACTGTCTACTGGGTTGTAGCCCTTATAGTCTGGCAGACGTTTAACAGCGTTTCAGAGTTGCTAGCGGCTTAATCATTGCCCTGATTATGAGGCACAAGAACCACGGCTCTATAATTCAGAAGAACGCCCATCTTCGTACTCACCGCCGTGAAAACCTCAAATCCAACTGATTGAATAATTTACGGAAAAGTATTCACAAAAAATTACCAACCAAGCACCTGAAGCAAGTGCTAGGTTCCTGTGTACCTATCTGATCTCGTTCTGAGTAATTCTTGTTGACGAAATCTGTGAAACTGTTTGGTGGGATTCCTG